AGCCATCATCTCTGTACAGGCCGATCATTTTTCCGCAAATATCATGTAGCTGTGACAATAAAAAGCATCCAACTAATTCACACGTCTCTGCGCCGTCGAAACTGCCCATAGTTACGTCGAATGAGCTGGTGCTCTTCTTCTGCCAGTAGTGGCCATTATGTGATAACAGAGACTTTTTTGAATGTAGAATAATATTTATTTCTTCTTCCGAAATATGGTCGTATGAAGAGGCGAAGTGTAACACTTCATACATATGTATATATATATATATAATGGAAAACTATTATGAGTATGATACTGAAAACTGACTGATCCTGAAAACAAAATTGTGAGATATGATAAAATAATCCCACCATGGAAATAAATGTAAAAATGTCAATGTTTTGGACTTTGATGACATGAACTCACAATAATGAAAGTCTGACAAGCTTGACCATACCATTTAATGCAGCTGATGTGTAACGCATCATTTAATTAGCATGTCACAGGAAAGTATGCCTGCTTTTTTTCATTTTATTTATTAGAAACATTAATTGCTACTTTTAAATTGTTTAAAGAATCCTCCCCTGGTATCCAAATGTCACATATACCTGGAGTAGTTGCATTGTCTTCGGGAGTGGTCACTATTGTCTTCTCACTGCTGTCCATTTTATTCACATAATCCTCTCCATGGCCTATAATAAAGCAAATAATTAATAATTTATCATACTTTAAATACTGTAATATATAAGTTATGCATGCTGTAGTGTTTTCCCAAAGAAGGGGGGGGGGGTGAATGGGAACATATTTTGTTTCCCATCACATTCAATTACCATGGCTAAAGTAAGGTTATCATACCTTACCTCTATCTACAACCCTGAGTTATGATATGGTGAGGTAAGGTAAGTTAAGGTATGGTAAGGTAAGTTAAGGTATGGTAAGTTAAGGTATGGTAAGGTAAGATAAGGTATGGTATGGTATGGTATGGTCTGGTCTGGTATGGTATGGTAAGGTTATCATACCTTACCTCTATCTACAACCCTGAGTTATGCAATAAAGGATTGAATATTGATGAATTGTAAATCGCAGTTTAATAATGACCGAAATTCAGAGGCAGTAACATTGATTACTGAGAGAAGTATATGTCTAAGTAAGAAGGTAAAATGTTCTATGTTTAAGCAACTTGTACATGATACCACTCTATATTAATGTCTATATTAATATCATACCTGAAAGAAGTGGTCGTGTAGATCCATTTTGTCCAATATCAGGTGTCGGAGCATGATCTGTATTAAATTCACATGTATGCATGTCAATCATCAGGAGGTAACATGATTGTGGGGAAACTCCCCTTGCAAGACATTTAGCCAGCCGCCTGTCTGCCTGGCATTTCAGACAAACAACCACATTTCAGACAAATACAAAATTCATTTGACAGGCCAAATCTTTACAAATCTGTACAATTTTCATTGAAAATAATCCACAAAAATAGACTATAAATCTATGGCTAGAGTAGCAACTTTTAGACATGCAGGCACTTTCTAATTATGCAAATTAGGTAATTATTATGCATAGATTTAAACCCCAAACTAATCAGGTGTGTGCACTGTCCTAGAGCATTCATGTACCAAGATTCATTGAAATGTAATGACTAGTACTTGAAATATCAAAAGCTTGAAAATTGACTAATTATGCAAATTAGGTAATTAATATGCACGGATATTACCAGTAACCTACAACCTATAAAGTCTGTGCATTGTCCTATGACATCTTTCTACCAAGTTTCATTAAAATGTAATGATCAGTACTTGAAATATCAGTGGAAAAGTAGAAAATTGAATAATCATTATGCAAATTAGGTAATTAGTAAGCATGGGTTTTTACCCAAATCTAACTAAATATGTGCATTAGTACAGAGCATCTATGTACTAAGTTTCATTAAAATCTAATGAGTGGTCTTTAGAGATAAGTGAAACAGGCATGGAACGTACAGCTACAAAATTGCTAATTATCATGCCAAATAGGTAATTAATAACTCTTCTAGTTTCTTGTTCATTTTAAATACACAACAATATTTGACTTGTTTGAATAATATCTAAGTTCCCTGTCATAAGTATACAAGTCATTATATATACATCTCCTTTACATGATTTAACTTGTATGAGGCCAATGTTTATTGAGGACAGTATAGGTTGTGTTGAGGGAATTATTTGTTTAAATATAATTTTGGAATAACACTATGCATTTTCATTTTGAGCAAAACTGTAATTTTTGTCTGTACTTTTTGCATATATGCAAATTAGGCTGATAATTGTGTCGTTGATTATGGCCAACCATGGTACATGTAGTTTATATTTGTAACCATGGTTATACTTCAAGATAGAAAACTACAATGTTTTTTGATATAACCATGTTCAGTCATGACATAGCCTTTACATCTACATTAGTCCAGATTCAAAACATAACACATTGGAAAGCAGAATTACACATGCAACCAAACATTTCTTGTTTTATAAAACAGAAAATGTATAGTATGAATAAGAGAATATGATATTTGAGAACAGAAAACAAGAAATACATACATCAAAAAGTAATTTTTTACTAAATCTTCTTGTGATTTTTAGTGAATTTTGAAAAAAATCCCCAATTTATTAACACTTACTCATGACAGGGAGAGCACAGATGCATATGGCTGTCTCACATATGCGGGGCTGCATTACTAAAAATAGTGTCAACTCGTGGGAGTGCGAGTAATTTCTATTGGTTTGCAAAGTATTTTTTTTTTTTAACATTTTTTTATTGCTTCAATAAATTAAGATATACAAAACAGACAGAATACAGTAAAAAAACAGACAAAAAAAACCAAACAAAGCGAACAATATGGCAAGTTATATATGTTTTCAAATAATAGAGAGTAATTATGACTATAATTCTTCAAATGTCGACCATTTTTAATTGTGAATTTCAATTGTACCATGTTTTTTGGCAATATATTCTTCAATTTGTTGCGTTCTAGTAACAAGTGATTTTAAATTAGTGAAAACAGGCAAACATTTCTGCATCTTACACTGGTACAAGTACTGTTTTCCCAAAATCAATAAATGGTTTGTAATCTTTGAAAAATTGACATTTCCTAAAATAAAATCTTGAAGTGTTTGAAATCTGCCCCACAATGGTTTGCAAAGTCTTACACAAACAACAAATACAACAAACAGAAAAATGATATGGTAATTACAGTTACATTTTTAGTATTATATGTTATTCACTTACCAGGTACATCTATCAATATAATTCCATTAGGATCAGATGGTGATTCGGTGTCAGCTAAACCATATGCTACACTTTTCACATCCTGATTTTGAGCTGTATACATGTATGTATTAGAAAGAGTAAAATTATTAATAAAACAATTTCCAAAAGTAATAAGTTTAAGGTCAAATTTTGACAAAAATGCTCATAATTTGTGTTTCTATAGTGTTTGGTGAAAAACAGAAACAAAGAATTCAAAGACAAGAGCATAAATTAATGTACATGTGTATATATGTATAAAAGAAATTGTAACTTAGCTATACCATATATTGTAAGCTATTTAATTTTCACTGCTAGGATTAAATGGCATATGTCATTAAATCCCAAAGTTTTGCAATAGTCATAGAACCCAGGAGAAATTGTCAATACTACAATATATCATGATTTGTACTGACATAAGTTGTCTTTGAAACAACTTTCATCAACAATAGTCAAAGCATGTCCGAGAAATGGTTAAGGACACATGAAAATAACACCAACACAGCCAGTTCACCATTTTATATCAAAAATGACATGTAACTGACCCACCATGAATAATGTTTATACCAAGTTTGACTGAACTCAGTCCAGGCATGCCTGAAAAACTGTTGATGACATGTTCAAATGTTGATTTTTGGTGTTTGTTTTTGGACACAAAAAAGGTCACCATTTTGAAACAAACTGATGCGCATCAGCCCCCCCCCCTGTTCTCTTGGAAAAAATTAACATGTAACAGATGGAGCCCAATATTATATAGTTCCCTTTTTACACTGGGCATGAATGACAACCTTAATATACATGCAATATATCTTACCAGTCTTGAAAAAGTTCTGTAACCGAATTCTTAGCTTCTTATTTTTATACAAAACTACTGTAACAGCTATTACTATGATGAATAGTGAACCAACAGTCAAACCAATTATCCACCTTAGATTGTTGCTTTTCTCAGTGTCTGAATCTTCACCTTCACTTTGAGAAGATAGCCAATCTATAATCATAAATAACAGTGAGAGTACTCTTACTTTATGATACAAACAAACATCTATCATCTTCCTGTCAGTGAAGTTGATCATAATTATTAAAGAAATATTATGGTTATAACAATTTTATTGCATACCAAAACCATGGTAGTTTATATGGTGGATATATTATACAAAATAGCATTAATTTGTGTTTACAAAAATCAGACTTCTCAAATCAAGATGTAACTGCATGAAGCCCAAAATAACACAGACATTACTTCAGACAGTTAACATATACAGTGACTTATTAAGTGGAATGCAAACAAAAGTATTTGAGTTGGGAACGCTTATGCAAGAGTGAGATTGAAACGGGATCTTGGTATCAAGTCATGCTACTTGCAAACCCCAAGTAATGTACCTCTGATAGTACCTAGATATGGTGCTATATAGTACATGTGGTATCTGATTATGGTCATTCAGATATTTTAGCTGTTGAATGGAAATATTGATCACATGCTATGCAGTATTACCAACATGCAATATTATTGTTTTCTACATCCCGCAGAAAACAACAACAATATTCCTCTTGTGCAACACGAGCAGCTGACCAGATATAGAAGATAATATTTGGTAATCGTAGTCCTAAATAACTATTAAAAATAGCTAGACGTTTCGAGCAATGGCTCTTTATCGATAGCATAGAAGAAAGTGTAGTGTAGTGATTTATCAGTCCGAGCAGCGTTTATTTATTTATGACCAGATATAGTGTCCACAATAATCGCTGCTAACATGAAAACACAAATGAAACGTGCATGGTCATGAACAGTTTGGTTGGCTGGTGACTTGAGACCACAGCTATTTATATATGTACCACAGAACAAATTTGTAAACTTCAATTCAAAAATTACAAAATGATTATTATCTATATAACTTTTGGGTATATGAAGATCTAATGTCTCCCTGATGCTTCAATTTTTTACTTGAGATGTGCATCAGTGAATAATTGTCATGGGAACAAATCTTTATATATATCCCAAAGTTTTATAGTTAATAAGTATTAATTATATCATTAATATTTCAACATACCTTTACATTCTTCTTCCTGTACTTCGGGATGACCATCCAATACACTGCATTTATGACATTGATGTTGATACATGTAGCACCATTCATCAAAGAGACAGTCGGTCCTTATAACACACTCATGAAGCGCTTGGTTTTTAGTGCTTTTTTCTGCAATAATAGTGACAATTAATGTTTATATTATTACATTTCACAGCAGCTAACACATGTATATTAAATTTTGGCTGATCATAATTGTCTTATAGCTGTATAGAACTAGTACATGTACATGCATGTACCATGTAGAAAATGAAATATATTTGATCAACTGTGAACTACACTTTATAATATTGGACACCAACAAAATTGTTATATATAGTCACTGACTATTGGTCAATATTTAATTTTTTTTCAATGGCTGCCATTTCAACTGTCAATCACAGGATATCAACAGAGAAATTTCTTAGCGCTCCATGGGACAAAAATAGTCACCAATCAGTCTGAAGTCACCAAAACAAAAAACAAATTGACATGCATTCATCTATATATGTATACATTTTCTTTGTAGTACTAACTTTTGGTCTTTGGTACATGTATATCCACGCATACATGAAAAACAAAACAAAAAAAAAACATGGCCATGGCAGTCTGCAATTTTGTATCATTATCATAAAACAAACAGACGTACACTAGTAGCCTATCATGCAATATGTTCATACCAACTCAAATCAAACCAAGGTATGAAAAATGGTCGATGATATATTCAAAAATTGTCGTTGGACAGAGGTCAATGAAATGAAAAACAAATAGCATGTATACGTATATCATTATTAATGTCTTGTCTCTTTCAAAATTTGGATACAGCAGAAATGAATTAGGGATACATGAAAATAAAACCAACACGGCCACCCGTTGGACATTTTGAGTCAAATCACAACATGCATTGGTACAAACAATAAACTGCCATGCAAGGGTAATTCGTCATGTGTGATGTTCATGTTTAAAGTAAAACCAGTCAAAATATTTATGTCTATAAAGAAACAAATGATGACATGTTCAAATTTTATGATTTAATTTTCTCTGTGAAAATCACTGCCAGTCCGTTAAATTTCACCAAAATCCAAAAATATCTCAGAACATATAAACATTTCAAGTCATAATTTGGTTGAAGTTTGAAGACTTAAACAACATTAAAGATTTTTATAAACGTTAATTTTTTTTTAATTACATCTCAGTGATTATTATAAAATTGGAAATTAAACCATGAAGAAAAACATGGCAAAATATATGCACGAGAACAAAATCTGTAAAAAAATGTAATGCTCGGGTGATATAGATGACAAATGTGTGTTATACTTGATTTTGAGTTTTATGCATTTAGCAGAGATGCACTTTTGTAAAATTGTCATATTAATTAAAATTGGTCATAACCTAAAAAATAAACACTATTACAATATTAACAATAGTAGTAACAATATTAGAATTTGGAATACATTTCATTTCTTGGAGAAACAAGTTACATCCATTTATTTTGTAATCATCATTGCAAATATTTTATATTCACATAGTCATGCATGTTTGTTCTCTGCTCTGTTTACCATATAATGTGTGACAATAAAGTATTAAAAAGTATACACATACTGAGGAAAAGTGTAAAATCTGTATTAGAAGCCGCGACTTCTATTGAAATGGTACAATGCAACAGAGGGAATGCGGCGTCTATTAGAGCCATCAACACATATGAGAAATGATGAATTTTTGATTCTCAATTGTGAATGTGTGCGTCTTCTATTAGGGATGCAGCTTCTAATACAGATTTTACGGTACTACCAGTGATACTCACCAAGTTCTTCACATTTTTGTGAGATATTCTGGCCCTGAAACTCTGAACACTTTAAGCAATTCCCCTCAGGCTGTCCAATCATTACTGGAAAGCATGTCTCATCGTGCTCACATTCAAAATCATTCATGCACGTTTCTCTTTTCAACCTTCCAGCAATTGCACTTTCCACACAAGTAATATTGAAGATGACCAGGAAAACTAAGGATATATACTTATAACTTTTCATCTGAAATAAAATACATGTATTTGTAATAAATGTATGCATTAATATAGTGACATTACCAGTCAGTTGGTGTAATAATTCAGTAATAACAAATAACGTAATTACAAATTAAACACAATGTGGATTTTTCAGTTAATTACATTAAAGTATATATATTCTACCTAATAAATAGGGGTGATAAATTGATCAACATTTTTTGTTTCAAAAGTATGACATTACTCTTAATTAGGACACATGTCATCAATCTTTTCCATTTTTTCATAAAAAAATAATTTATCAGAATTTCCAATTTATGACAACCATCCATCATTCTATGGAGGTTTCACCCATGTCTTTTGTAATGTACACTGTACAGTGAACTTTCATTGAAACACTGAAGGGAACGTGGCGTAGATCGGGTTGATACAACAATGTACTGTCTTTATAGTGCATACTTTGTATTATTGTTATTATTTTGTTGCATTGGCAATGCCAGTGAATTTTCACGTTGAAACTAAGATAATTTGGAAGAAACAATCGAAAACATTCAACATAATCGCGTCTACACTATATGGGCCTTGTAATCTGTATACTGTATATAACATCAACGCGTTCACGCAACGATTTACATTTACACACACACAATATAGCGTGCAGTGGTAATTTCAACATAACACTGTACAAAAAATAGACAAACGTGGAACTCCCTATCCTACATGATGTTAATTTTGCGATGATCGCGAGGACCATCGATGTGTAGATGGGTTGAAGCTCGTAAACCAGACAGCAATTAACGGCTTGCTGTACTGCACCCCATCTTGCTTGCGAGCTGAAGCGTAAAATTCCCACAGCAGATCGGCGAGCTCAACGACAGGAAGGTATTCAAAATTGGTGGCGTAACACGTACTCCTCATTTAGTCTGCCGTGAAGTATTTTTTTTATTTCTTGCATTTGTGAGCACATTTAATTGGAATTCCCCGACATCGATAAAACGGGCCATCGTGTTTGCCTTTGGTGAGCTACTTTTATTTACACGTTGGACGTCAGTACCGGGTGTTTTTCGAGAAGTTGGGATTGGCCAGACGACGATTTGTGTTTGCCGTTATGGCGGGAATGACACCCATGTAAACTAAGAACAAATAATTATTTTTTATATAGCTCAGAGTTATTCATTTTCAGTTTTGATTTTAATCGTTTTCACCCCTTATTATTAAATGCCAGTCTCTTTATTTGTTTTCCGAACTCAACATTCTATTTCTATGCACAGTACGAGGCTTTGATACTCAGTAATGCAATATATTATTGCGAATAATCTGTGGTAATGACGTCATAAAATTTGCTGGTATTGACAATGCTATAATATAAGTATAAGACAATCAATGGTATTGGTCAAAAGTGATCACATGATCAATTGATAAATATTGATATTGGAGTGTATCAGCATATTCCTTGTCTCTGATGTCATTTTGTGTGTTACTGGCCCTCAAGTCATAACATCCGAGATACTTGGATTGTTGCAGACAATAAAAAATGATGGATGAAAATTTTTATAAGATTTTCCACTAGGGGCTAATTTTGCATCTGGCTCAAATTTTAACTGCCTTTTTTGGGATAATAAAACAGTTCGTCCCAAAGTTGACATCAGCCTCAGGCGAGACCAATAACTGTATAGTATTCTTTTAATATTTAAACCTTAGTATTGTACATTTTCCTGTTACAATAACTTGATTTAGGATGCCCAGAAGTGAGCAAAATTTATTTAAACTGGACATACATTATATACGTTGACGCTCTGGCTTAATGAAGATTTTGAGAGATGTACAATTGTCAATCACAAGAAGCGTACAGGTAATTCTCAATCACATGCTATTTAAGGTGTGTGGACTTGAACATCCACAGTGTATTAGGTTATTCAAACATTATGCCATTTAATCACGTAAGATGAGGTAATGACTTTTTTCAAGCCGCCATTATCGCACTGTATCGGTACATGTAGGTGGGCGACGAAAACATTTGTCTGCATTACGGTTACTAGTAACCGTGTCTGCATCTAACTCGAGTTGAACGTGTTCGCAGGTTGATTTATTTAGTTTCCGGGACTTATTAAAACATGTTTTTGATAACTAGCTGACAAATATGGACGCGGCGCGGGAGACTGTTCTAGAACAAACTATTGGTGTCCATTGAGTTCAGCAACATCATCATGAATCAAGACAATCTCAGTAAAAATCGGTATCCGAATATCGCGGCAATAGAAAGGGCCAATAGTAGTACTATAACTTAGTTATTGTTCAAAACACATGTTTCGCAGTAAATATAGATATTACTCACCATTTAATTTTACGCTTTCGGGATATTTCTTTAAAGAAGAATTGCACAGCACCATGATATCACAACTTGCTTTTTAGGGGATTTCCCAAGCCTCGCTATGGTGACACTGCGCGCCCGCTTACGGTGGACATAGCATCAACTTTCTACTTTACAGAGAATGCGAAAATTGTCGCTTGGACATATTATGAAAATATTATATTCAAAACAACAATTACAAGAGAACTGGTGATGGTTGTGAACCATAACTGCCTCAGCACAAAGACTGTTGTGTATTTCAAGGGAATGTAAAGGGAAATATATTGGAATGATACCTCTGTGTAATTTACAATATATCCGCATTAACCTTCACCGTGAAGTACAATATGGGAGTTGTCTTTAATGACTGGTAGGAGCAAGGCTGGGCACATTTTGCGAAATACATTTTTGTAGTAGTTAGTTAGAATTACCAGACACGTAATCGAGACATTGTGGGATATCGAAATATGAATGATAAGCAGCAAATGACATTTCCAGAGATATAGTTAGAATTGAAGCAAAGGAGTGGCCTATTAACCCATGAACCATACTCACACATATCTGTACATATCATCCTGTCTTATTGGGTGGTGGGGGAAAGCTGACATGTACACAATCATAATAACTGAAATGGTCTCGGAATGGAAAACTGTTTTATTACTTGTAAAGAATTATGAACAATATAAACTGAAATTTAGAAACTATGAACAATAAATAATGAAAATCTGTGATTTCATTTGCTGCACAGTTTTCAGTAAATTATTAACAGAACTATAAAATTTATAAAACACACAGAGATTCACTTCGCACGTGCGGATTTAGGGAGAGGCGCGACAGCCCCCCCCCCTTTCAGCCCGCAAAAAAAAATTGACAAATCAATTGACAAACCCAGCCCACGTCAAAAGGAGCGCGCCCCTTACTGAATTTCTGGACGCATGGAGCCGGGAACAGCCACTGGTGGCGCAGTATGCAATCGAGACCTAGACCTATTTCGGCTTGCCGCAATGTGATTAAAATAAGATCCTAGTTTCGGCTTTTTTTGTATATATATATTTTTATTTTGATCTAGTATTTAGTATAATCATGAAAACCTTATAAACATAGTGCAGACTTCATCTTTCAGTTTATTCATAGCGTTTCTTACCTTTAAAACAGTACTTCCTGGATAGTTGCTGCAGTTTTGCAGCTCTTATTGGCCGCTTAAGCTATTTTGGTATTACGTTGCGGTCGCCCCGCAACGTATACCACGACCAAGAGAGCTGCATAAACTGCAGCAACCTGGATAGCTGCTGTGTGTGTCTATGGAGACTTATGAAAGAGGTCCTGGGTTTCACCACATTGATGGTGCTGAACGTTGTCTTCGTATTCGAAGCCAACACATACGCGACGATACCAGATATACAACAGCTAACAAGCCACGCCAACCCAGCGACTGCCGAGGATTTGTACACACTCCCACCGTGTCATACGCTGTAATATACAATGACAATCCTGGTTTCCCAATAACGCTTGATCCAGTGCTTCGAGTATACCCGAAATATAATCTTACAATCGCTTACGAGTCGTCAAAACGTTCAGTTTGGTGACAGCTGTGAAGGACACCAAGATTTAACAATTACATTAGAACATCGCGATGTTCTTTTAACACATGAAACGGATGTGCATAAGCCTAAGTTTGTATAGTTTAAATACGCATACAAGCACCCGTATATATATTTTGACAATAAACCTCTCCTTCACCGTGACGTTGTGCAAATACAAACAAGACATTTCCAAGCACCCGACATTCTGACAGTGTAAGTCAGTGATGTGATGGTAAAACTTCAGTCGCTCCACAAATTCCAGCAATATTGTTGGGTTACCTTGTATTCTGGTATACAATTGCAACTGAACCTCATATTGTAAGATGACCTGCAACAGGAGGTTTAAAAATGCTGTCTATTCTACTCAATGACATAGCTTCACTTGTGAACACTTTCAAAAACAATGTTTCTACAAGTGTCGTATAAATCCGAATGGAAATTCCGGAGTGACGCCGAATATTTCTAACGAGTCACCCAATCTAAAAACGTCTTCTACCAGTCTAGGCCAATCATTATGGTGCGGGGTAATAAATTCTGATTAATGATATCGTTACCATGGAGAAGTATGTCTAATGTTTCACGAGAACGACTGTCCCTAGAGATTTTCGTCTTCTCAATTTCTCAAGATACACGTGCCAAGGTTGTATTGTTTACAAGAAGGAAATTTCATTTGGCAGCATTCTTGTATTAATTTCCAACGCACAAATAAGAAGCAAATACTATTACTGAAGCATAGAATTTGCATGTATTTTTTTCTTCCGGCCATTCACGCAAGCTGAATCCATAATTGCTGAAAAGATGCTGAATTGTTCGAGTTACGGACATCGAGTTACGAAGATCGAAAACATCGAGTTAAGGAAATGACGACGCCCATATTTTTAAAACCAGGCCCACTTTTGTGAAACCACGCCAAAATGTTAACACGATATTCAATTAACAGTTAACAGAACTTCGAGTTATGGGCAACATACATTTAGTTTTTTGTTAAACGTCCACATTCCGTAACTCGAACTTTAAATAACAGTTAACCAAACTTCGAGTTATGGGCAACATATATTTTTTGTTTTGTTTAACTTTCAAATTTTGTAACTCGAACTTTAATTAACAGTCATATTCAAACTTCGAGTTAGTAACTCGAAATTTAACAGTTAACCGAAGTTCGAGTTACAGCAACGTAGATTTTTGTTATTGTTCAAACATCCAACAAAGCATCTTTCATTTTTGACCGCGCAATAAGCTAGCTTTAAATTCGCAAAATCCAGGAAACGTTTTAGTAGGAGGGAGAGTAAAACATCGTTGATTAAAACAAAGTAAATCCAATAGCAGGAATACTACTGATGTTTTCTATATATAACAGAAAGAACAGGGTCACCAGGGAGTTCTCTCCCTCTTTCCGAATGTAGCCGTTCTTGGTGATTATATAAACACACTATTACACAAGCATCATTGAGTAGGATGCGTTCAAATGTTTTTTTCTTAAACACATGTCAATACCCCGTAATATTTCTACGCCTCACTGTTTTACCCATACACTTTGGTTGCAGCTGCAGGCCAAATCATTATTTCGTTAATGAACTTCTATTTTCCATATGTGACTTTTTAATAATCTACGGTATCATATGGTAAATGTATTGTGTGATGGAAACCTTTAATATTTGTCGCAGATTTGAACAGGTTCTATTCTTATACATCGCTATGTTATATTTTCTCCATAAATGATCACACACAAACATTTGTTCTCACAAATATATTGGACAATAGATACCCCAATAGACTTCTAATTGCATACTCACTCAAGTTACCTTAAACATATTCCCAATTACTTTTAATTATTTTTTTTTTATCTCAAAACGCTATAAAAATATAATTAATGATGACATGTGAGTGGGATATCACCCTGGAAACTGCACCCAGGGACATAATGAAAATATAATGAAACCTTGTTAATAACGCACTAATTACCCGCAATTACTATGCTCATTCAA